AAGATCTACCCTTTTTTTCTATTTTATTTTTTATTTTTCTTTTTTCTTTTTTTATTATTATGTTAATCACCATACCCTTTTAACAGATTTTTAAGTATATAACATAGCATTGCTAAGTATAGACTCCATGCCTCATGGGAGATCTCTAGGAATTGTTTATCTTGCAAAGCTCAACTTTTGTTGCCATGGCCTAAGACCTCCCATTCCCCTGGCAGCCACCATTCAACTCTGTGCTTCTGTGAGCTCAACTACTGTAGATTCCTCATATAAGTGGAATCAGGTAGTATTTGTTTTTCTCTGTCTGGCTTATTTCACTTAGGATCGTGCCCTCCTGGTTCATCTATGCTGTCACAAATAGCAGAATTACCTCATTTTTTAAGGCTGAATAATACTCTGAAGTGCTCAGGATAAAAAACAAAAACCAAAACCAAAGAGGCATTAGACTAGTTGGCTTTGGGGGTGCTTTGCCACAAGGGCCTCCTGTGATTCCATGGCAACCACGGGTTCTGTCTCCTCCTGTGTCATCCCAGGGTCAGGAAGGAGAATGGGTCTTGCAGGAGACCTGTGTGGTGAGAGCAGCCCCACGGGGATGGACACTGGCACTGAGTCACATGTCACGGCTTGGATGCTCTCCTCGCCTCTCCCACTCTGGGAGGTGATCAGGGCAACTGTTATCTCCTTAGTTCCCAGGAGAGAAAATTGAAACCCACAGAAACTGAGTGCCTGAGATTGGAGTGCTGAGAGTAGAGCCTGGAGGATCTTCTGCTGGCATGGGGTCTGCCCCTCCACTCTGTCCTGCCAGGCTGGGTCAGGACAGGAATGGCCAGGTGGTAGCCTGAGGGTCTGGAATCACTGAAACCCATATTCAGATTCTGTGCTGCTTGCTGGTGATTTATTCAGAGATCCTTGGCCCAGGGTTTGGGGCTAGGGTTTGGAGATATCATTCCTCCTCCCTGCAGGAATCCTAGTGTTTGACCAGCGTACCATCCAGCTCACGAGGAAAGAGACTATTGAATGCACTTCATCAGCTAATGCAGGATTTAAGCGAGCTCAAGTGCAGTGCAGGAGGCTGGTGGCTTTGCTGTCAGTGGACGATGTTTAGGTGAGAGGGAAGGAAGTTTCCCTCCTAGGTTGAATAAGTAGGTTCTGGGCGATGGGAGTGGAGCCCCTGCATACGCTGCCAGGAACATCCTAATGCCCGAGGCCAGAGAGGCATCTGGGAACCACAGCTCCGTCTGCCAACTTTCTAAACCAAAGCCTCGGTCTCTGTGCCCAGTTCTCCACATCACCTCAGCACGTGCAGCAATGCAAACCCTGGGGCATGGCGGTTGAATGCAGGATGAAATTCTGCCTTGGGCCCTCTTGTAGAAGGCTCAGGAAGCAGGGCACTCTGGGTATCCTGGGGGTGGCAGGAAGGAAGGGCTAGAGGCTGGCATGGGCACCAGGATGTGTAGGAGACCTGGCCACCGTAGACTGCACAAGCCCTGGGTCACCTGAGCTGTACCTGTGGAGGGCCACTGAGGGGTGTCAGTGTCCTCTGCAGGCAGGTGGCTGTCCTCTGTGTTTATAACTCCAGGAGCTGGTTGCCAGGTGCCTTCTGAAGTAGGCTGGGCTGTTGTAGGCCAGGGAGGTTCTTCCTCATGGTGAACTGTAACCTGTCTCTCTTATGTCTCTCCTCACTGCTCCTCATTCTCCTATGCAAAGCCAAGGTCTGCCTGAGTTGCTGGCTCCATGCTGGAGCCCCTGGTGAGCCAGGAGGCAGCCTCAGTTCAGGGCAGGAGAAAGGAGGGTGGGGGGAGAGCAGGCCCTGGGAGGTGAGGAGGAATAAGGTCTTGAAGGGCAAATGATACAGGTGATGGCATGAGGGATCCATGTCTTTTGGTCTTCCAGTATCATAGGGTGTAAAAATGAAGGCTCATCCTTGGGACTCCTCCACCCCTGTCATCCTCTCTGAAGGCGCCCTGTTCCTTTGCTGTCACCTTTTGTAATTATATCATTGTTGAGTTGTATAATCCTACCCCGACTCACATTTTATGTTCCATGAGCTCAAGAATGATGTTCAGTTCCTACTGTATATGTCCAGATGGCCTAATGCCTGAGACAGGAAGTGCTCTGTAAACATTTGTTGAATGAATGAAGGAATGAATGAATGGGTAGATGAATGAATGGACACTTGGCTGGACTCTAGCTTGTAGAAAAGGCTGTGTACTGCACTAAGAACCTTAGAGTTCATTCTTTGAGCAGTGCAGCTGGATGAAGGCAGAGAGCCCCATCTGGAGCTGAGTAGAGGTCAGTGTGTGGTGGGGCACTGTCTTCATCATCTTGGGCTCCTATAGCAAAAATATCACAGACTGGGTGGCTTAAGCAACACACATTTATTTCTCACAGGTTGGATGCTGGGAAATCCAAGATCAGTGCACTGGCCAGTCTGGTGTCTGGTGAGAACCTGCTTCGTGGTTCATAGACAGCTGTGTCCTCACATGGCAGAAGGGGCAAGGGAGCTCTCTGGGGTCACTGTTATAAGGCACCAATCCCATTCACGGAGGCGCTGCTCTCATGATCTAATCTCCTTCCAAAGGGCCCACCTCCAGATACCATCACAGTGGGGGTTAAGTTTGAACCTATGAATTTCGGGGGGGACACAAACATTCAGGGTGTGATGGAGAGGGGGCACCACACCCAGCGGTGGGAAGGACGTAGGACATCTTGTCTCTGTACAGACGGAAAGAGCTGAGAGACACAGCCAGCGGGTGGCCCTGGGATGGAAGTGGAAGAAAGAGACCCAGTCTGGGAAGGTGCATAGCAGCCTCTTTGCTGATCTGCCGGCTGGTCCCCCAGAGTCTGCACAGAGGGCTCCCCTACCTGGCATCGTTGTGCTCTCTGGTGGTGGCTGGCTGCTGCTCAGTGTTGATTACAGTTTGAAATGCCGGCGCTTCAGTCCCATGCTGCTACACACCACAGACATTCCGTTTCACTGTAATGAGTTTTCAGTTAGAATGTTGGAAAGAAGAAAGCCTTTTAATTAGATTGGTAGTAATTGAGCTCCCAAACCACAGAAGCCTTTTTCTCAGAAGCTGAAAACACAGATGCAATTAAAAGAAGGAAAGCCATCCAAATGGAACACTGGCTAATTTTAAGTCCATTAAAAACAACAACTCCTTAATAAGTTGACGCAACAGATATATGTCCTAAAAGAGTTCAATGATGCTTTCAAATAATATTGGAGATTGAACCGGAGCTAGAGTACTTGTGCAGTTCAAATATATGGCTCTATCGGGGACAATTTGCTCAGTACAGAATACCAAGAAATGTTAGCTACATAACTTTTTCCACCAAAAAGACTCTGCCATGTTTTATTTTGGAAAATAGGATGTATTTTTCCTGTAACCAAACTGACAGCTTCTTCTGAATACAGCTGTGACCTGGGACCCTACTAGGATGGTGTCGTCGCCTGTCCCTTCCCAAGCAGCTCTGTCTTTCTTTGGGATTCACATACCTCCCTGCCTGCCAAGTTCACCTCTCAAAGTTGCTCAGAATTTGAGCTGCTGAGCCAGGGGCATTGATGCATCAAAGAATCTTTGCCAGCTCCTTACATGATCAACACATTTCTATTTTAATGAGAAACAGCATTTATTTCTTATTGGCATTCCAGCCCTCTGACCACGCCCCAGCAGATGCCATGTTCTTTCTGCCATTGGGTCTGTTTTTGTGTATGCCATGCCATCAGTTAATGGGGCCAGGTAATTCGTGTTGGAGGAGCTCACAGTCTCAGCTTCTAGGCACATCTGCTTGGGGGCATTAGTAAATACTTTCTCCTAAAGAGAGTGACACTTACCAATTTACAGAGTCCTTTAGGTGGGAACTGGGGGCTAAGTTCTGAAAAACACCATCTCAGTAGAACTATTGCATGAAACTTGCTCATTTTCTAGGCCATGTTGGGGTTGGCCAGCAGTGATAAGACCCTGCTTGCATACCAGTTGGAAAGATTGATGTTCCCCAGAATTTTTTTTGATGTCCTGTTCTGGGGCAAAGCCATGGTTGGTACACTATCCCAAGCTCTGGTTGGAGCACAAAAGTGGCACCCTGCTGGATCCCATCCTCAGGTGGTTTGGGAATGTGGAAAAAGGAGCTTTGAGTCAGAAAGATCCAAGTTTGAATAGCTCCTTCAGAGAGTCATCTTACCTTTCTGAAACTTGGTTTGCTTATTAGGACAGAATTTACCTTGTAGGTGTGTGTCAGGGGCCAGGCATGCTTCTTGGTAGATAGAAGATGAGAGAAAAGAAAGGCAGATCTATAGGGACCAGGCAGAAATGTGACCCATGCAGTGTCATTGGCCTCTATCGTGGCTGCTATCACAGGTCATACTCCCTTTCCTGGTGGAAGGAAACACAAGATATTTACATTTGTTTAAAACTGTATACATTCTGGTAATAAACTTGACTTTAAAGATTTGGAGGGGCGCCTGGGTGGCTCAGTCATTAAGCGTCGGCCTTCAGCTCAGGTCATGATCCTGGGGTCCTGGGATCGAGTCCCGCATTGGCGTCGGGCTCCCTGCTCGGCGGGAAGCCTGCTTCTCCCTCTCCCACTCCCCCTGCTGTGTTCCCTCTCTCGCTGTCTCTCTCTCTGTCAAATAAATAAATAAATGAAATCTTTAAAAAAAATTGGAATTTGTACCCAATTTTATTTTCTTAAGCATATAAATTATTGTAAAGGGTACAAAGGAAAATAAGCTAAATCATTAGCAAGTGTCATCTCTGGATGTGGGGCTGTGGGGTTTTAATTTTCTTCTTTATACTTCTTCATATTTTGTAAGTACTCTATAATAAATGTGCTTAACTCTGGGGAAATGCTGTTTGCAGGTATTTGGAAGCGCTTGGCGCCTCCTAATTTCCACACACTCCAGCAGTCCCAGTAGCCCAATTCCTGCATAAATAATGGTATCACTCCTTCTTTTGTAAACCCTATAAACAGTATTTATGGTTCTTTCTTTTTCTTTGAAGGATGAGAAGAACCAAGTTTTAACCACCAACATTTGGCTGCAGATGGTAAGTTGAGACAATGGCAGTCCTCTGCTGTGGGTCTTCCTGCTCTTCCTTCCAGAGGCCGGTGCTTGAAATACAGGGGAAGCAGAGGGCCCCTGAGAAAAGCCAGGGCAGTCCTCCGTCACTGCACACATGCCAATGTAAGTGAAATAGAACATCCGCTTTGGGGTGTTTCTCACTGCATCCTGCAGGACTGAGTGCATGCTTGTATTTCACTATAGGGTGATTTGGGGACATTTTAAAAGCACTTCATGCAAGACAAATAATAAGATTAAGATCTGCATTGTCTGTAACCTGCACTAACTGGTCCCCAGGGCTCAGGGGCACCTGCCTCCCTCCCCATGCCCCCTTGGAAGCCTAGAGAGTTGCCTAAGCCAGAGGCCTCCATACTTAGTGCTCCAGTGGCCCCTGCAAAAGTTTTGAAATGCTGTATTCCATTCATGGATTTTTAACTTGACATCTAAAATTCTCACCTAAATTTAATGAATTGCAAATGATGTCTCTTCCAGCAAATTGTAAATATTGACATTTGAAACTAAAACTGTTAGTCTCTATTTTAAGTGGAATCTAAATGCCATAATAATGTGATGTCCATATCATTCACTTAAGAAATATATAAACAAAGCCTTCTTTAACTGCCAGATATTTCACACAGTCCCTGTCTTCTTTGTACTGGCATTGTGATTCCAATTTTCATACAGAATTTTATCCTAACGTAGTATAATTTTGTGTTTGCAGGTCTTTTATTAATCACTCTGTCTTGGTTCTCTTAAATATAAATATTTACATAAAAAATATTTCTTTAGACAATAAGTGTTAATTTTTTTTCTCCTAGATTGATTTAGGTTTACAATGATTATTGGTACTTAATTCTTCAAGGTGACATTCGTCTCTCTACCAAAGATGAGGCTTTGTTTTAAATTAATTCATGTATTCATAGATGACTGTTTTTTATTATCAGAAATGAGACACTGATGTAGATTTCACCATCAGTTCTATGATTTTTTAAAATAGATGTAGTAATGTGTCATTCATAATGAAAGACATTTTGTTACAGCAGTGTTAATCAATTCCTTGAACTTCTTCCAGATGACATGCCAAAGATAATATAGTTTTATCAGGATGTATCAGCTGACAGCTTGATTACTTTCTCTCATTCAATTTTGTTGAAAGCAAGGAATTAAAGGAATTAAAATCCACCTGATCTTTGAAAGTTTTTGTCACCCAAGCTTTAACACATAGACACTGGTATTTTGAATTGACCCTTTGTTTGCTTCTTGGGCCAGTGTCCCAAGATAGGAGTCGAGGTATGGGAAATACACCCTTCTTTGTAAGGCAGAAATGAGAGAAGTAAATGTAAGGAAAGGGGTACTCCCAGGGGGTTCTTGGGCAGGTGAGTTTTAATGGGAATGCATGTGGAAGTTGAGGGAAAGAAAACAGATTCACATAAAGCCATCTGCTATGTGTCCCTCGAGTACGCTTCGCTACACATGAGATCCCTCGCAGAACATTTGAGAGATTTCCCTGCAGTATTTAAAGCAACATTCTTGGGCGCCTGGGAGGCTCAGTGGGTTAAGCGACTGCCTTCGGCTCAGGTCATGATCCTGGAGTCCCGGGATCGAGTCCTGCATCTGGCTCCCGGCTCAGCGGGGAGTCTGCTTCTCCCTCTGACCCTCTTCCCTCTCGTGCTCTCTCTCTCTATCTCATTCTCTCTCTCAAATAAATAAATAAAATCTTTAAAAAAAATAAAAATAAAGCAACATTCTTTAGTGAGCACATTCTACCCTCAAAACCTGTGCACACCTGCTGTAGCTTCCCTCCTTTGTCATGGGCACAGGGTCAGTGCTCCCCTTAGAGAAGGGCCCTCCCTCTTGGGAGGAGGTTCCCCCTCCTGGGACCTTCTGAGAACCTTGCTTTCACAGTTGTCCCTGTTGCCTCTAACATCATAATAGTGTCTGTAGGTTCTCATTAGCATACAGACAAACCTCAGTTTGTCCCCATTAACCCTTCCCAGTGACTCTGGTTTCCTCCTCACCTTTACAGCAATGTTTCTCCAAGTGGTGCCTCCCCAGGCTCAGACTGCCCCCAGTCTCTTCCCATGCATTCTCAGTTAAACTCACCTCGCCTGGCTTGGGGTGAGCAAACCACTAGCCCCCAGGTTGCTGAATGCTTTATTATGAATAACAATTTCCCCAGTTTTTTTTGATGAACATTTTCAAACATACCGAAAAGTTGAATTTATGGTGAGTCTGTATCTTCACCTCTTAGATTCTGTAATTAGCATTTTATAATTCTCCCTTTCTCCCATATTTGGCTAGCTGTCCAACTTTCTATAGATCTAGCTTCTTTTTAAGTTCAGTTCAAAGTAGAATAGTGGACAGTGGTCCCTTTCACCCATGTGTCTTGCAGCTCTTTGACTAGGGTGTCTTTCAAGGTAAAAATTTTAGGTACAATGCAATGCACAGATCCTAAGTGTACTGGTCAGTGAATTGCCAGGCGTGCTTTCAGCTCCTCCGTCCCACTCCCCTCAGGAAGCAGAACTTTGCCATCACCCCAAGTGATATCTTGTGTCCCTTACCTGCCAACACCTGCCCTAGCCCCCTACTCCCCACCAGGAGTAGAACACCATTGTTTTGCTTTTTCTAGGGATTGATTTTTTCCCCCCTCTTATCTTACTGGGTCTCTCAGGAGCATTTGGTAGAGTTGATTGGTCCCTCTTCCTGAAATCCTTCTTCATTTAGTGTCTGGATACCTCTCCTTAGGTTTTTCTCCTAACTCACTCGTGACTTCTGAGTTCCCTCTGCTGTCTCTTCATGTCTGTCCAGCCATTCCTTGTTTCAGGAGTTGGAGGACCCAGTATCCTGGCTTAAGGCACCATTCAGGAGCTAACAGCACCAACCCAGCTTCCTCCCTGGTGTCCCCACGCAAGAACCCAGCAGGCTCTTAACCCCAGTGTGTTCCAGACCACCCCTCCTTTCCCTTTCACGCTTGCCCCTTCCATAGTGATGAGAAGGAAAAATTCTCTACCCTTTAAGGTCTTCTAGTTGGACTAAGATTGAATTTACATGAGACAGATATTTTTCTTAAGATTTTATTTATTTATTTGACAGAGAGAGATACAACGAGAGAGGGAACATAGGCAGGGGGAGTGGGAGAGGGAGAAGCAGACTTCCCGCCAAGCAGGGAGCTGGATGCGGGACTCGATCCCAGGACCCTGGGATCATGATCTGAGCTGAAGACAGACACTTAACCGACTGACCCACCCAGGCGCCCCTACATGAGACAGATTAACAGGAGAAAACAAAGTTTTATTACATTCACACGGAGGCCCAATAATGATATTGAGACCTACAGAAATGACCAAGGCGGATAGTTTTTAAGCTTTCTTAGAAAAAGAGACACTAAATCTGTGAGGAATTGACAGGACAAAAGCCGTTAACTTTGGGAGCTTTAATTAGTAAGGAATTCTGAAGGGAATTTGGACTGTGCTGGGAAATTAGTAAAAAGTAACAAGGGTTGTTTCTACAGCCTTCTTGGCTCTAAATTTCCTATCTCTGGTGATAAGGATGTCTCTTTAGCTCCTGGTACAGGGAGGGTACCTTTCATGAGAGAAATTTATTTCCTGCTTTCAGGGGGACAGAGGAGGGTCTGAGGGTCCTTCTTGCACAGGCCCTTTTAAATAACTTTTTTTTAAAAATAATCAGTATGATGGGCATTAAGGAGGGCACGCGTTGTGATGAGCACTGGGTGTTATACACAACTATTGAATCATTGAACACTACATCAAAAACTAATGATGTACTGTATGTTGGGTAATTGAATGTAAATTAATAAAATAAAATAAAGTAATCAGTATGACAAAGTGGAACATTTTGGGTAGCCTGACCTTGGCCCCTACAGTAGTTGTCTCCATTTGGAATAAATGGTAGCTCCATGTCTTCATTTGCTCAGATCAGGGATGAGGCTTAACTCTTGTCTTTCACACCCACTTCTGACCTGGCAGTTCGACCTTCAAAAGAGATCCAGGCTCTAACCACTGCATGTCAACACCATTGCTTCCACCCTGGTCTAAACCAGCATCATCTCTCACCTATGTTATTGTGGAGACTCCTAGCCCAACTTTGTGTTTCAGCCCTTATCTCCCCTAGTGATGTCTGTTCTCAATATACCAGTTAGTATGATCCCAAAAAGAGAAGATGAACATTCAGCCACAAGCCTCATTGGCCCTGGTCCTTCCAGGGGCTCCTGTCTCACTCAGTGGCGAGCTGAAGTCCTTGAGGTGGTCTCTGACTCTTTCTGCCTGGCCCTTGCATCTGCCACATCACCTCCAGCCCTCTTCTTCTTGCTGTGCTCCCTGCCCTGCTTGATGCCCTCACACATCACCCAAGCACACACCCACCTCAGGGCCTTTGCACTTGCTCCCCCTGCCTAGAAGGCTCTTTCCCCAAGAACCACTTGCTTTTCTCCCTTGCTTCTTACTAGTCTCTTCCTGAAGATCCCTTTTCAGTGAGGTGTTCTCTGAGTCCCTGGGTACTGTCTCAAATCCTCCCCTACTACCCCAGCCCATGCCATTCTCCTTACCTGGTGTCTTTGTTTGGGCTGCTATAACGAACTACCATAAACTGGGTGGATTATCCACAGCAGATATTTATTTCTCACAGTTCTGAAGGCTGGAAGTCCAAGATCATGGTGCTGCCATGGTTGGGTTCTATTCAGGGCCCTCTTTTGAGTTGCCTTTGTGTTGTGTTCTCACATGGTGGAGAGAGATTGAGCTAGCCATTGGCCTCTTTTTATAAGGGCACTAATCTCATTTGGGAGATCTCCTTCCACATGATCTAACCACCTGGTAAAGGCCCTCCTCTGGCATCCCTCACATTGGAATTAGGTTTCAACATAGCAATTTGAGGGAACACAAACATGTATCCATAAGTCCACTTCATTTTGTTTCTGAAGTGCTTGTCCTATTCTTTGTTTATTTGTTCTCTGGCTCTGAGTCTCCCTCC